ATCACTACGATGTGATTACGTGATAATATTTACATCGCATAATGATCGCTGCGATATCGCAGAGATATCGAACTAATCTATGTCGAATAAATATAGTTACGACTAACTTAACGACGTCGAATCTATTTTTTATTAAAATATCGTAATGATATCGTAATGATATCATTGCAATATCTAATCAATATCGATTGTAAACTCCAAGTTTCAGCAAAGTAGATACCCAAATATCTTTAAATGTCCGTATAACATTGATCGCCCTCTATATATCACTCTAATTAAAATTGCCAATTCAAAATCTCTCTAAATTCACAAATTATATTGAATTTTAGTAATATATACAGTAATTAATACACTACCCTCCCAAAAGTATCCGGTCAACCAATAAAAATCATATTTTATTAATAATAATTAATATTTAGTTGGCCATCCATTGTTTTTAATGCATGCTTCAATTCAGCATAGTATGCTCTCAATTAAATTAATGTAAGTTTCGGATGGAATTCTTTCCCACTCTTCTTTTAGCTGTTAATCCAGTCGTGTCCTAAAATTTCCAAAAAGTACCATTATAGACACGATTGTTCGATACAAAAATTTTAATCCTGATAGCTTCATGTCCTTTTCAAAGGCCAATAATTTGCCCACGCTCACTCAATTCACTAGTTTTTCCCATTTTAAAAGTAGCCGAATGGCGTAGTAACAAAAAAAAAGCAAAGTTCAGCGTTGGCAAAAATTGAGGCATTATTATTTTTTTATTGCCAAATCTGGTACAAGTATCGTAACACAATAAAAATACATTCATTTTAATCGTTAAAACTAGGGGAATTATTTTTTTTTTAAAAAAATAATACTTTATATATTCAATCTTAAGAAAATCAAGTTGAGCTTGACCGGATACTTTTGGGAGGGTAGTGTATATAATTATACTGTATTAATTTATTTTTATACAATATATTACATTATTTATTATTTTATTTATTTTTTTTATTATTATATTGTACTTTTTATTTAAAGAAAAAATTACAAGAATCAAACTTATTATAAATAATTTGCATCTTACTTGCTAGCAAATATACCTTATGAGTCTAATTCAATTTATAGCAAGCTAGCTAGTTATATATAATAAATTATAAAATTAAAAGCAAAAATTATCTAAACGATAAAATAAAATCAAAAGCTATTTAAATGGTAACCCTTACAAACTCATCAGAAAGCCACATCAGTAGCACAGACATTACTATTTTTATCATTATGTAACATTTATAATACACATTTTTAATAAAAGAAAAAAAATATCTTTTTATTGAATTTTTTTATTTTTTTACAAATATATAATAAAACAGTAATTTTAACAAAAAAAAGTATTTTAAAGTATTTTTTTAATGAAAATAAATATTTGTAAAGTGTTTTTTTAATAAAAAAAGTATTTTAAAGTAGTTTTTTAACGAAAATAAAGCATTTTTTATTATTTTTTTTTAACAAAAATAAAGGTATTTTTAACAACATAAAGTATTTTTTTTAATATTTTGATGAAAATAAAGTATTCTTTTTAGTATCTTAATGGAAATAAAGTATCTTTAACAAAGTAATTTACAAGTTTAATAAATTAAGTTCTATATTTTAAAAAATTAAAGTATAAGTGTAAATAAATTAAACCACAAAAAAAGTCTGTATAAATAAAAATAAAAATCAGTGGAGTCATTTATGACTAAATAATATAATTATATTATTTAGTATAAACGGCTTAAATTAGGTTATTTAGTAATAAAATAATCTAGATATGATTAAATAATCTAAATATAACTAAATAATCTAAAGTTAATAATCTAATTATGATTAAATAATCTAATTAAATAACCTAATTGTGATGATTTTTTATACCTACCTATTTTTCTTATTATATTTCTTACCTTTGAAATCGATTTTTTTTTCCTGTTTCCTATTTATCGTTTGTGGTCCATGTGATTAAATAATCTAATTATGACTATGACGAAATAATCTGAATGCGCCTATTTTTATTTTATGCTATGTGTTAATAAATGCTTTCTGGTATAATTTATGCTGGTAGGGCTTCACAATTGATTGGTTACTAAGTACTAGGTGGTGGTTTGTTTTCCATTTTTAAGCCTTTTGATTGCTGGTCAGGCACGTAGTGCTGTACTATCCTTCTTGATTGCCAGTGTTAGGCCAGCCAGTTTGAATGCTAGTTCTATATTAAGAATTTGCATCTATTTGATTGCTTTTCTAGATATCAAAATGTGGTAAAAAAAATATGATGTCAAATGGCGCAGTAATTTAATGTAAATCTGTGTCTAAATTTGGCTGACACTATGGCATAATTCAGGCTGATCTTTAGGGCATATGATTTGAAGGATCTAAGCTGGCACTATGGTAGCGACTTAGTAGTATCCTGGAGCTGTCATGAAACTGGCAGGGAATCTGAGTATTTCTATTAATTTGCCAGTTTCAGGCCAGTTTGGATGCCAGGTTATAATGTTTGGAATCATGTAACAGTTATTTGAATAACTTGAGTATATTCGAGTATTCGAATAAGTATAGTGGTTATTTGAGTATTCATTTAGCCAGATATAGTATAGTTAAAATTCTAATTGGACATTAAATCCTTAAATTTAATTGAGTTAAAATCATAATTCAGGCTAAAAAATTATGTAAATCATTACTATAAAAGGAAATTTAACTTATTCGAATATTATTCGAATACACTTTATAAATTTAAATGAATACTCGAGTATATTCAAATATATTCGATTCCAAATACTACCAGGTTATTATGTTCAAAGATTTGACCGAATTTATGTTCTGGCCAATTTTATACTGTGCCTTATTGCACCAGTCACGTGATCCTGTTACACTTTTTCATAATTATGAGCTAGTGACAGGAACATTCCCAGAACATTTCTGGAATCCAATATATAGTATGCAATATATATACTAACGAACTATTGAATATTTCATATCTTCTATAGAATATTATCAATCATAACATCTGAGGTTGAATCATTGTGACAGCGTAGAGGTTGAGAACGCAAAGTTGAGGCAGATTATTGAAGAGAATGCCAGGCGTAATGCTAAAAATGCTGAACATAAGATCAGAATTGAAGAATTGAAGAAAAATAGTGTAGATATTTCAGCTGAGAATGCTAAGCTTAAAGCTAAATTGGCAAAATTAAAACATGATTTCAATTTCTCCAACCTCACGAGGCCTCAGCAACCACAGCACATTACTAATATGCAGAACTTATGCTTTGTTGAAGAAGAAGATATATCAGCTGTACCACATACAACCATATGCTTCTCACAATATACCTGATCCTGTAATAGACCAGCCTATAAATAGATCACCTGATGATAACGCAAACATCAAACCATCGAAGGAAGAGATGATGATCTCTTTTCTGGATGAAGTGAATAAGAAAATTGTCAGTGATGGGATAAGACAGAGAAAGCGGGATGAAAAACTTGCAAAAGTGGAATCTATCTTTCCTGAAAAAGGTAAACAGGTATCTGTAACAAAAAGACACTTCGCAAGAAAGAATAAAGGGAGAAATTCATTCAGAAAGCATCTGAGGATTCAAGCACCAAATGTTCTAACACTATGGGTGAGCTGGGCTCAAATTCTTTGGATGTTTACCTAAAGCAATCAGTACGAAGCTATGATTCCTCAGCAGCAAAAATGGAGACAACATTTTTTCTTTTGTATAAGAAACTTTTTGATGCCAAGAACTTTGCTGATCGTGCGATCCAAGAGGCCATTATATGTTACTGTCAATTTGGAAAAGCTTTTATCCAGAGATGAAGTGAAATAGCATCTGAAAAACAAGTTGATCCAAAATCTAATGCTGTCAGTAGAATTTTAAATATGGAAGTTAAAGCTCAGCTTCCTGCAGATACTTCTGTTGCACTTTTATGGAAAAAAATCAAGCAAGCCAAGAAACTCTGGAAGCTTTTTGATGCAATAGGCATAGATAAAATTTATCGGATACATTCATTCTCTGTTAGCAGTATTTCAAAAATGACATATGAAGACATTTAGTATATCATAGATAATATGCCAGTTGACTACAGCATTAAGATAGAATCATCCACCTGTGCTCAGCCGAAAGACACTTTGTTAAGTGATGAGAAAAATTCTGAATTGTCACATCCTGATCTCAGTTCAGGAAGTGATAAGGAAAATTCTGAGTTGTCACATACTAATACATCAGAGGTAAGGATGGGTCCGCAAATGATTTTCAAATTCCGCAATATTGCGGATTTTGAAGTTGAATTGCGGTTAGTAGCCCGTAATTCTGCAATTCAGTTTTGGTGTTTTCTTACATACAAAAAACACCAGAACTAATAGGTTTTTTATACAAAAATGCTGGAACTATTGCTTCTGGCATATTTTTTAATTTTTTTTAATAAAAACGCCGGAACTATGGGTTCCGGCGTTTTCTTTTAATTATTTTATATAAAAATGCCGGAACTATAGGTTCCGGCGTTTTCTTTTGATTTTTTTATGTAAAAACGCCGGAACTAAGGTTCCGGCGTTTTCTTTTAATTTATTTATATAAAAACGCCAGAACTATGGGTTCTGGCGTTTTCTTTTAATTTTTTTTATGTAAAAACGCCGGAACTATAGGTTCCGGCGGTTTCTTTTAAATTTTTTTTAATTAAAACGCCAGAACTATAGGTTCCAGCATTTTTTTTAATTTTTTTTTATGTAAAATAATTTCTTTTATTATTAATAATAAATAGAAATATTTTTTTTTTTAGTAGTAATTATATTTTATTAAAAAAAAGAAAGTTTTTTTTGCGGAATATTTGCGGGATTGCGGATAATTGCGGATTTGCGGATTTGCGGATTTTTAGATTTAAAAATCCGCAATGTTCCGCAATACCGTAAATCGCAATTATTCCGCAATTACATATTTGCGGCACCATCCTTAATCAGAGGAACAAACATCTTCAAAATCTGGAGTAAATATTTCACCTGCATCTCGACCAATGTCTAAGAAGAACTCAACTTATGACTGGTCCTATTTTCACAACAAGATATTGGATCAATATTTTAATCTATATAGAGAATGTAGTAGTGAAAATTTCGATTATTATGGAATTACTGATGAGACATCATGTGGGAACTATATCTGCCCATTATGCAAATTAGGTCATAATGATGAAGAAATAGAAGGCAGGTATAAAGCAGGATCTTACTTTATTAAATGTGAACAGCGTGAAATTGAGATAGTTGCATCGTTTCATTGCTTCACAATAGTCTGGAAATTTTAATCTTTTTTTTTTTCAAATGAATAGGTCTATATGAGAAAAAAGGGATTTTTAAAATTGTTTGCAGTCATATAAAAAGGAAAATGACTGAGTCTGTTAAAATACTAACCGCCAATTATCTGAATTGGCATGCCAAATTAACTGGGTTACCAAGTATTTTGACAGATAAGATCCATTCCAACTTATACAAAAAATATAAAAGAGAAATAGGACTTGAGCCATGGCAACTATCAGAAGTACATAAATCGGAAGTCATAATTCACCAGAAAACAAAGTATCCGATTTATCTTTTCCCTCCTCCGGTGAGCAATGTCAAGAAAAATGGCCCATCACTTTCGAAGCTAGACCCAATCCAGAATTAATTATCAAATCCGTCTTAGAGCACTTCCCATACTTGAAATTTGGAAATAGTTTTTGAGAAATAATTATAATTTTGCATCACCTCAGCCGTGGAGTTCACCATGTTCTATTTGCAATGGAAAACACAGAAATTATGGATTACATGGCTCATGGTACTGTGAAAATGGAAATCAGTTCCCTTATAATCCTGAATTAGCGAAGTTCTATTCTCAAGATAAGTTGGAATATTGTCTTACCTGCAACACTTCAAGCAAGAAACTCAAATTCGCGATCGTATCATAGAAGCTGGTTTTTTGTTCGCATAGGCGCAGTATTAGGAGATTATCTTATCTAATTGACATCATGTGTGACAATTTGTCCTTCGCACGTGATTTTTTTTATGTCATAAAAATCATCACGTTTTGATAAGCTAATGGGAACTCGCTTTCAAATAATGGATGGATATTTTGATACCACCTCTTCTGAAAGTTGGTCTCTTAACCACTTTGCCGAGTGGCCATTAACATTTCGTGTGAAATATGAAAAAGTCTATGGAGAATACGCTTAATCAATCTTATTCAGAAGGAACAAAGCCAAAAGTAAATCAAATGTACAAAGATTTTGAAGTGAGTATTAGTTTTGTAATGAACGAATGATTTAAGTTGCTGTAGCACACCTCAGGACTATTAGTCGGCTGGAGTGTTGAACTATTAGTTCGCTACAACTTCTTATATCATTTAAGCTTTTAAACTTCTGTAACACACTTCAGGACTATTAGTCGGATGGAGTGTTGAACTATTAGTTCATTACAGGCTTTCCTCATTTATGAAATAAAAAAAAATATAAAGAATGTTTATTACAGAATTTGTTTCTTTTTATATTAGGCTTGGAAGTTATCCGGAAGTCGAAGTGATTATTTTAAATCTATACCAGACTTGAAGAAAATCAAAAACGAGGAAGCTATTCGACTGGAGCAGATAAAACCGTACAACTAGCTAAGATTAAGGTACCTTTTTTATTAATAGTTTACGTTTTTGAAATTTATTAATCCTTATTTTCTGTACAGTCGAAAAATTTGCAAGAACATACCACCACAGTAGTGGAATTCCATAGGAACATCACTGAAGATCTCACCACTATTAATCATGATGTGAAGACGACAAAAAGGGTGAGTCCTGTTAGACTTAAAGAATAATACATTGAAACCGACTTATCACTTTTCTTGCATGAAAGAAGTCGACTAGAAAAAGAAAATCAATACGTTATCGTTATACTGAAAGTTCAGATGAAAATCATTCGTCTGATCCAGACTACACAGAGAAATCAGAGAGAGTAAGTAATTTGATGTTTTTTCACAGTTTTACACGATTATAAATATTCTTATTCTAATTCTATTGAACTTATCAAGAAACAGGAATCAAGAAGATCAAAGCGATTACGGGAAAAAGCGAACTGTGATGATATGGACAAAGGTGACATTATCGTAGAAACTTCAGAGGATAAAAATACATCACGTCCGGCTCAACCAACCATGATCTCAAATACCTCTGAAGATACTACTTTGTGCGAAATTACTCCAAGTACACCCCAGCAATTAAATACTTCAGAAGATTTCGCAACTTCACACGAAAGTACACCTTGTCCAACAGTTCATTCAGCTACAAGCACTTTAATAGCAACACCTAATAAACCCATTATCACGAAAGCAACATATGATGAATTTTCTGCACACATAATTTGTGCTTTTAATACAACGATACATCTTGTCAAAGAAACGATCGAAGAACCAATGTATGAGAGAGTTAGAAATATGCTTCAGTCAAGAAACAAACTGGCTATGAGTGATTCGATAATCAAAAACTCGAAAACATATTTCAAGCAAATTATTCTGAAATCGAATCTAAAATAATTTTGGAAACAAATATTAGAGATAATCAAACATCAGAAGAGAATAGATTTATGTTCTTTATACGATGTGCGTTACTGGACTTTGTCTTTAGGTTTAGATATTTGATGCTGAAAGTCTTAGCCCGAGACATGCTTGAACGATCCTACATCGTCGAATGTCTGTTCCCAATTCTGCGAGCATTTCGCAATGCTTTTCCTGACGTCAAATACATGTGATTAGAAAAAGACGTAAGATCTATAAAGGAAGCGAACATCATGTTTACAAGTAATTTTGGGGAACGAAAAACAGATTTACTCATCCTCCGATTATCAGATGCAAGGGAGCTTTTGAATGTCGAAGTGTCTGGGCCTCCTTATAGATTAACAAAAAAACACACGGTTGGTGATGTTAAAAAACTACTAATTATGGCTATCTGCAGTTTGTGTCGGCTCCTTGGCAATAGCCTTGATTGCAATATTGAGGACGCAAAAAACGTTAAAACCTATAGTATCCAGGTCATAGGAGACCGATGTGACACGCCGCCCATAGGATATTAAAATAAAATATCGTATGTTGCCACCGACGTGTTGAGTTCGTATAATATTTATGCTTGGTTTTAAAATAAAAATTAGTTACAAAAATTACGAAACATTATTTCTGTC